GTTTTCGAACATAATATTTATTTGTTAGTTTGTCGAGACAAAATGCCAAGCAAACCTTCAGAAAAGCTCACACTATTCATAAATATAATCAGGCGTTACAGTGGGATTGGAAAGAGAAGTATTTCAAACTAAAATAGATATCATTATGAAAATATGAAGCTAGCTATTGTTATATATATATTAATGAAGAATGCATCCATCACGATTTTTCAGACTTCAGAATTAAAAGCCAATGTCAAGTTTAGCGTGAACTTGGTTTTTCATCGAGTTGTGTTGATGTTGGTATTTTGAAATAGTGCACATACTTGAGTGTGGTTTTAATGCTATTTTATTTGCGTTATTTTATGCGGCTCCTTACAACTTCAAGGTTGAAATTTGGCTCCGACACCAAAAAAGGGTTGAGAACCACTAGATAATCTAAATCGTTTAGGAAGATATGACTCTTTTGGAAAGAACCTATTGCGGATTCTGTAAAATTATTGAATATTTAAGCATATGGCGCATTTTCCTTTTTATTCTCGAAGTGTACGTATTGTTTTGTCATTATGTAAATTTTTTTTTTTCATTTCTAATTCTTGTTGTTGTCGTATGAAAAAATCGCTTTTCTCGTTCATTACAGGACCAATTGCTTCGAAAGACTGTATTTTTCTCTAAATAGCTATTTATTACCTTTATTCGTTTCTGATCTTCTTATGAAATCTGATGTCTCATCTTAAATTCCGCTGTTTCAATTTTATTCATGGGAACAGGTTTTTGTGACATCGAGACGGTTGGTATCGATCGACTACTGTGACAGATTGCATACCCGTACTACGTCGTTTTGACTTTCGTGTCCATGTATTTGAGCATCACTCTCTTGTTATTGTTGTTTTTATTTGAATATTAATGAATCAGGGACCGTGAGATTTTCCACCTTTAAGGCGATTATTAAATGACCAGTGACAACAGCAGCAGTTATTCATCAATTCAGTAATTAGGTGTTTTACGGTGATTTACATCACAGATGTCAATTAAGATGTTAAGCCAATTTGTTTCTTGCTTCTGTCCAAGGACTGGTATTAAAGGGCTCATTTTAATGAAATTCGATCATAGAAAATAGTGACATAAACAAACAATTTTGAGAAAATCATGACAACAATTCAGTGGAAACCCCTTTACTAATAATAGAATAGCTAAATTTCAAATTAGGATTCCATTCGAAAAGACCTGTCTTTAATATTTTTCACAAAAACGAACTTTAACTAATATTAATAGAGATACGAAAATTTCTGCTTTGGTCAAAACATTCTTCATAAAAATTCTTGCTAAAAATTATTATGCTGTTCATTTTACACACAAAGTGGACCTTAGGATCGTTTCGCAATTTTGTATTCTTATTCTTGTTTTTATGAAAAATTCGCTTTTGTGTGCGATGACGTCACCAAAATTAAAAATTTAGCATCTTGTGGCGGTTCCGCGTTCCCTATCTGGTGTTCAGGCGAAATCAAGAAGGGTGCGGTACCGGTAGTCTACTGTGAAAGATTGCATACCCGCACTACTTCGTTTTGGCCTCCGTGTCCATATATTTTGGCGCTGCTCTCTTGTTTCACATGAGATGGGTTTTGAATTACCAAGGTTTAATTCAATAGTATCCCACTGGGTTGATTTTGTGTTGTTGCGTGGGACCTTATATGACTTCAAATGACCGAATTCCATCGGATCTCGTGCTATGCGAAAGTCGGAAGTTTTTTCACCGTAAATTTCGTTTTGGCTTTCGTATCCATATATTTGAGTATTGCTTTCTTTGGATCTCGAAAAGTATGTGTACCTGAACATAGTAGGTGTACGAGGTTAGTGTTCAGGTTGTGCGCCATCTTGGTCACATACTTCAGGAGCGCCCTTTCTTGTTATTCAATTGTGCTAATCACTGGCGTAGGTCCATGTTGTTGTTATGGAATAAAACACATTTTCCCGGACCAGTGTAGTTGAAAGCGATATTAGAAGTGCGAGTGATCACACCTCAATCGCATTTCAGCGAACTAGTGGGAATTTTTTTGGTAAGAAAGACTACCGGTACGGTGAAAGATTTGAAACTACTTGTTTTGGCTTTCGTGCCCGTGTATTTGAGCATTGCTCTCTCGTTTCTACACGGCTGCCTATGTAGTCATATGATGAGATTGAAATTACGCTTGACACCTTTTTCGAAACAGTCTTTTTAATATTGATAGAATCGTGAGTCAACCTGTTCGATAAGTAATACCGAGGTGTTAACGTGCATTCTTAAAGACGCGTTTTATCAATTTCTTCGTCTTAACGTCATTAAAATGGCTTTACCGCGACACTGTAGCACCGAGAATATTTGTTTAGTTCATAAATTTTGTAATAGTAGCTGAACGATATAATCACGGGCTTTCAAATACGAAGACTTTGGTAATTTTATAAGCCTCAGATGAACATAAAACTCAGATTAAAACATATCTCTCATGAATAACATATTTCAACAATTCCAAATGTGATGACATGTAAAGTAGCATTATGTGTCAAATCCACAATTGTTTTTGTCAGCATTCATTAACATAATTTTGCAACGATTTGTTGCCTGAGTTTCTATATAGTACTACTTTACAGCGTTAAAAATATATTTTATAATGACATATGTTTTCAAAGCCAATGTATGCGATTTCAATTTCATTTAATGTTGAAGTGCAATTAATTCTTACTTTCTCCGTGTAAAACGCTGGCCCTATATTAAAAGTCACTTTTGACAGAATATGTAACTAGATAATTCTTTTTATATATCGATTGGTGGCTATGACTCTATTGCCAATTGCCAAAAATATGAAAAAATACCATATGGACTGGAATTGTCCAATATATTGGCTATGGTTGGTAGCTAACCGATTCTTATGACCTGCTATATATTATACTTTTGCTTTGATGTACTGTTTGGCAACCCGTCATATCAAAATAAATTCAGTTTTTGAAGTTGTAAGAGGTGTATTCACAAGTGATATTTTGATTTGCTTTCGAAAGTATTTCAGACGTAAAAATGATCAGGCCAATGTGTCCGTGTTCACCAGTTTATTGCTTGAATTTCCCCTGTCCATGTATGTGTGTCAAATTCCTTTCTTATAACAATGCTCACAAGCTATGAAGTCCAATTAGCGAGCTTTATCTTATCGTTTATTTTACTACTTACAATTAGGAATGTCGTATACGAGGGGTGTGCAAAGTGAGGTCCCGCGGGCCAAATGTCAAATGCGGCCCGCGAGGGTAAGTTGTGCGGCCTGCTGATAAGTGCCAATTTTGAATGATGTGCGGCCAGCTAATCTAGTTTATAATTTAGTTTGATCTGGTTCCCTTTGCGTTGCAAAGCTTATATTCGAGTCCAATTTATTGTCTATGCCTATGACGGTACAACGTCCTAACCGCGAAGCGAACAATGCGATTCACAAAGCTGTCACTTGCCGAGCAGCGAACAATTGAAAGGAAAATGCGGAGCAGACGCTAATGAATTTGTGCGAACGGGCAATTGGAGATTAGGCAACTGGAAAGCAGTTTGAAAAAATTTAATGTTGGGAAATACAAAAGTTAAATGAGTTTTGGTTCCAGCCTATCAGTTGATTTTGTTTAAATCTAATCTAAAATAAGATTTGACAGCAAAGTATTTGGAAATGAATCTTGGCGTATTATACCAAAAACATCCCAAGTAAGATAACTTTCCACATTTGAAAAAAGTCATGGCTTCAAATATGGCACTTTACGGTTACATATTTTTTTCTCGAATGGGCGTCATATCGAATTGCTAGCACTTTCATTTAAGAAAATTTGGATAAAAGTAGTTGGGGAAAAATCCAGCAGCAAATTTCTCTCTGAATTCGTTTAAATTGGGTGTGACAACATATTTGAATTACAGTTTTAAAAAATTTATACGTCCCTGCAAGGACCCCTAATGATGACAATATGAAATCAACAACAAAAATACACTATTTTGTGCCTGCATCTAATAGAAAGCCTATGCTAAACGAAACTGCAGTCCGCGGTTTTACCCAGTTATTGATATTTGGCCCACCTGCGCAAAATGTTGCACCCCCCTGTCGTAGACTACAGAATCGATTTTAAACATCAGGATGCTTAGGGAGAAGACGTAATATGAATACCAGATTGTGAAAGAATTAGCAATTTTGCGGCTGTAATCGTTACGAACTCAGTTATAACAAGCAATTAATAAATAGATGTCTCCGAATATGATGATCGACTTCGGATTTTCTGCTTTCTCTTTTTCTCGTGCCCCTGGCCTTATGCATAATTTCGTATTAGGTGTGCAATCAAAAAGTAACAATTTTTTTTTTATTTAGAAAAATCAAATCATTTAAAATCAAGAAATCTCAAAAAATAAGAACACAAGTCGCAATAACATGGATTAAAAAGTATTAAAAAACATTTTATGAATGGCGAAATGACCTATATGTGATCAGGCTCTTATTGACAAGGTATTGATTTTCTGTGAATATCAGTTAGGACGAAATACTACGTCATGTCAAAAGACAGATAGGAAACGGGTGGTCACTGTCACTGCTGTATATATATATATATTTTTTTTTTTTTTGAACGGGGAAATTTGTTGACTAATAAAATAATGCCCAACAACTTCATCTTGATGGAAGGTATTTCATTGAAAAGCCTAAGTTTTCCTCTAATCGAATAAGCGTCCTGTTTATAACATATATATTTCTAAATTTCATTGAAGATACACAACAAAAATATTTTTATAGTTCAAACAGAAACATTTATTCATTACACTCTGGGCCCTGATTATATAAGTATACAAAACGAAAAGCAAACATTAAAAAATTGATTGCACGAAGACGGTCTGAAGTTCGAAATTCAAAATTGTTTAACTGAAAATGACGAAAATATGATGCTCGATTTACATAATTTTTGTTGTAGATGGAATCAGATGCCACAACATATCCTGTAAAATTTATATATCGTTGACATACGGCGGTGAATTTGAAATTGTTGTTGTATCATAGGATCATAATATTTGTAAAAGAAGGATCTGATTCGTAAGTCAAAATATTTGGATTCAAGCTATTATTAATTTTGTGCAACGACACCAAACCATATGATATGGAAAGCAAAGCTGCGAAAACAGAGACATGCATTATAAGCGTCTATCGAGCAAAGATGTCAAAATATCCGTGTGTAAATATCACAAAAGCAGGCTCTTGCCAGCGCAAATTCTCACCTTCGACCCCCATGCACTGCGGATTAAATCGGATTTGCATTGTTCTTTATGGCTGAAGAATATTAATTAGATTGGCTATTAAAATCCGACAGTAGCTTCATATTTATTAATTTCTTCTCTTTTTCATAAAAGCTAATCACACTAATGGGAACTATTATGTAGCTCATTCATCATCATGAAGTTCCCGATTAGTCACATGCAATCAATATAAAATAAGTTCAAACATTTTTTAAAAAAGATTTATTAAAAATTCTGCGTTGACACGAATTAAAACCCCAACTTAGTGTAACAACTTGGAATGAATTTTGCCAGATAGTCCGGCACAAATCACTAGCAGAATCAATAATCGGTGAATCAACTTAACAACGCCGAAAGTGTGCGTGTGACAGATTAGCTCAATGTAAAATTAATTCAATTGGGATTTTCTTTTTCAGCCATTTTGACCAATAACCGATGGGACGGATCATTGAATGTGGAACAAATACATATATATACAATTTAAATAACAATCTCATTTATATCACTGAAATCGGCCATACGTTTGTGTCACGCACTTTGAAAAGGTTTTGCTCCAGAATATACTATACTTCTTTGTTCGAGTTAACAAAAAAGTTCAAAAAATGGCTATACCAATATTATCAATTTTTTGTTCAGTATAGTACAACCACCATTAGCAAGGCACAAAAAGGAGAAATTTTATATGTGAACTGTTTTATTATTTAGATTGTTTCCATGCATGCAATAATTCTTGGTAGTAGTATTAATCACCAGTAGCAGAATGGTTCCTTGTGATCTTGTTTCTCAACCTGAGATTACCGTAGAAGCGTTATGAGAATGAATGGTTTTTTGTTATTAGGAATAATTCACCTGTGGTATGTTTAATTGCTTGTGTTGAAGATAATCTACTAAGCTATCACTAATTGCTATGATAAAATCTTCTTATAATTATGTTATAATTATGCCAGGGCTTTGAGAAACAGAGAAAAAGGCTGTTACAAAAATATTTTCATGTCAGTTGATCAGTAATTAGGGGGATTAATTTCATACCTGCGCTCAATATAGGCCGTTCTGATAGCATCTCTCAGTTTGCTCATTGTAAAAATACATATCCATGGATTTAAAAGACTTGGTACGAAGAAAACGTTCTGAACATATAATATATATTAGAAGAAGCCTAAACTACAAAATTACTCAAATTAATTACTACGAGCTGACCGAGCAGGGCGAACGCAGTATACCCGGAAAAGGCTAATATGTCTTTTTAATTCGGTTTTCATTCCTACAGCCATTGCCCGCGCTTTCTATTATCAAACACCAAACCTATAGTACTTACGTTGATCATTTCCAGTGTATAATATTTAGTGTATGACGTTTGCAGGATATATCCCCTAAGAGTAAGAGCGGTTACCGGAACCCAAAATATCATCTGTAGGCTCGTAACCGCAAGAGAGAACTTTGATACAAAATCTTTGTTGCATCCAAATCGACGCTTAGCAACAACCATTGGACCAATTGACAAATCGTCACCCTCATCGTACATCAAGCTTCTGCTTGTTCCAGGAACTTGAAGTTCTGACACTGGCCTTTTTGTATCGCCTTCGACGCTTGTTGAGTTCGTTGAAATTGTTGTAACTGAATAAAATTGTAAAAAATCGAATATTTTGTACCAAACGCCAACATCGCCAACGCCAACAAGTGAAACTTGGTGAGGTGTCGAGCTTCGTACAGCGGCAAACTTAGATAACTCAGAAAATTTCAAATTGCAATATTACGGCAACGCGTGTATCTATGGTTGACTATTACACGACCACTGGAGGCGCATGGCATAGACTATGATTTCACAACAAATCTTTAATAAGGTAAAACATATTTATTCAAACTAAATTTTGCTGTGTCGAGTATTTCATATATATACAATATACTTCTTTACTCACTTTGTTTTGCAGGTGTGCTGGATGTTAAAACGACTTTGACGCAAACCACTGATATTGTACTAGCAATTAAGGTGACGAAACAAAACCACGACATTCCATTCACAAGTAGTATAAATGGAGATCCAAGAGGGGCCATAAAACGGGAACAATACGGTTGGCTGTAAATTTAATAGTCAGAATTGATTCATAACCTGTTTTTATATTATAAATATTTGGACATGAAGTGGACCTGTGAATCGTTTTGTTTTTGTGGTATTTTTTTCTTGTTATTAATAGTATTGTTGTTAGCGACAACAACAATCTTTAACCACTGGACTAATTGCTTTGAAATTTTTAGAGGTTGAAGATTGTTGTTGTCGCTAGACGACTATTACTTTTATTTATTTTAGAACTACCTGTGAGCTCTTTGCGATTCGTTTTTCTATCTGAAGTTTTGTGCGGTGACGTCGCCGAAATTAAAAATAAAAACTAATTGTAGCGGTTCCGCGACCGGAGACCGCAAGTCCGTTGGATCTCGGACTCGGTGGATTTAATGCTTAGCAAAAGTCAGAAGTTTTTCAAGGGGAACGGTGGGTACCGGATCTGATAATACAGTGGTGACTCGGATCATTTAGTATATCAATTAACGTTGAATATGGAAGCATGAATCATCCTCACAGGACTTGAGAAAGCTAGGACAGCCCGGCTACCGTTACCAGTACCATGATACAAGTACCTCTGTACTGGTAGTGGTGAGTGAGTGATCGTAGCTGTTCCGTATAATTGCCGTGGAATTGTTGGTGAAATATTCCGTTTTGGCCTTCAATGCCCTATATTTGGGCATTGCGGACACGACATGTACATATGAATCGTATCGTTATTATGTTGTTCTTGTTGGTATTTTTCTTCTTATCGTTATGAAAAAAATCGCTGCTCTTCTCATTAACTACTGGACCAATTGCTTCAAATTTTCATTGGGTAAAGATTATATTTTCGCTAGAAGACTATTACTTTTATGTATTCAAAAAAATTCCGTGGACTCCATGGGTTTCGTTTTTTGTGCGATGACGCCATTTAGAAAATTATGCACTATGTGGCGGTTCCGCTTTTCGGTTAGTCGGAACGACTGCCGTACCCGTAGCCTACTGTGACAGATTGCATACCGGCATTACTTTGTTTTGGTCTTCTCTCTTGTTTTTATCATACTGGTAATTTAGTAGATATTTATGACAAATTTTATCATGGTGTATAATGATTTTGGTCTTTGGCACATACCTGTTGCATAGAGTTTGTTCATCCCCATTTGAATCCATTATAATGGTAGCACATCCGTTAGTGCAATCATGTTCTTCTGCGGTACATCTTGTAAACATCGCGATTGCAATAAATATTGGCAAAACCAACCAAATTCCAATCACCATTTTTCTTACGTGAGACTTTTTCCTGTATGAGAGGATTTTCACTTCTAACAACAATATGTAGTCAATAAACTAAGGTCATCCATCGTTCATTTCTCCGACGACGAGTCTTTAGTAGGCTATATATTATAATGACACTCATGACAGTAAGGTCATTGATATCTAATTAACACTTTTGTGTCAAAGAAGTTGTCTACTCAGGTTCATTAACAATATTTTTAATTCTTCAAATCCCGTTATTGAAACCTTTTACATATATATAACTTTAAATTACATGCACCTGAACGACTTACCTGAATACTGATAAAATTGAATTTAATCTGCTGCTATACTTGTGTTTTGAATGCATTTGCACAAATGTTTCATACGATCTGGTATATGTTGACTTCACGGACAAATTCAGGAGAGTCAAGCTAGATGGGGAAAGAGAAAACAGATTACCCATTACTTTGCTGTTAAATTAGACTCATGTTTGAACAGGTACTGACCTACTCGGCACAGTAGTCTAATTATTAAAGGTACGTACATGCTTCCCTTCACATATTCTCATCTTTCACAAAAGACATGGGTTTGAATCATATATAAGTGCTTATGTTTAAAACGATTGGACGTCAAGCCATATAGCGTGTTGTACCTTTGGGTAGAACTTGCCCCATTCGTTATATCCATGTTTTGGTTTACTGCACAAGTACTAGTTAACATATCCTCACCTCAAAGTTGCCATAAGAAAAGAAGTATACGAAGCTCCTTTCAAAAAACTAACAAGTTCGAGTTCGGCATTTGTGATTTTCACCATCTAAATGAAATAATTAATTCTCATAATATCAATTCGCTGTTGTGTAGTTTCACGGCAAAGATTACTAATAATTTGGCCTAACTATTCTTGATATATATGGCAGGACACCGATTCTGTGCACAATGTTTGATCCGAATGAGAGTAATCTCTGGTTTGTTTTTTTAAAAATTTTATCGTAAAGAACAAATATAAACGCTTACGGGCCTGTAATGAGCAGATTATATTCTCAAATTTAATACACAATACGTCAAATATAAATTTCACTAAATTGGAGTACTCCACGGTCTCACGTTTTTTTCATCGAAACTCTAATGTCGTGCGAGACTGTTGTTACTACTTAGCTTGATAACTACTGATAGGAGTGATTGTATAGTCTGTTTTAACTCATTTTAATTTGTCATGCTCTATCAGTTAATACTACAATTAATGTAATCTAGCAATGTTATTGTATTCATTTTACTGAATTCTCAATAGTGTAGAAATTGCCGAAAATCTATATAATTGACAGCGTTAATTGGCGAGAAAGATTTTTAATTAAAACATATCAGATTTGAAATATTCAATAAGTATTGGATCAAACTCAAAATAATGTAGTGGTAGATTTCAGCCAGAATAGTTTTTCAAATTTGACTAGTGTTCGTACAACGGCGCTTATTTTTATTAGGTTAACCTCACGACTATAATTTTTATATGCTCTCATTGAATCAATAATGTTTGACAAATGTAAAGCTGGTAATTGGCCGCTTCCGAAAAAATTGTTCTATAACGAGTTTATATAAAGATATTATATTATATAGATATATTATCAGGTTTGTCCGTGGTACTGGGATTCCCGTGGGAAACGTCTCATGGGATGGGACACGAAAACCGTATGATTTTCGAGGAAATGATGGTAAAATATTTCATTATGGACGTCGTGTTCATATATTTGGGCATGGCTCTCTTGTTAGTTATAAAGAGCAAAATAATTTCAGCATTAACAATATACCTTGTGAAGGGGCTGATGATCGGTCACATGTCTAATAGTTATGAATATAAAGTTAACAAAGTCCGTTAATTTTGTTATTTCCCATTGGAATCCCATGGGATGGGATGCGACAGGCATAATTGCTATGGGGTGGGAATGGGACAGAAAAACATGTCCCATGGACAAGCCTGTATATTATATAAGATATTGGCTCTATTAACCTTAACGGACATGGCTATTGAAGCTGTGCTCTGTACCCAATGAGTTTGGACATGATGTCGCAAAATTTATATTTTACTAAATAACCGGAAGTGAAGTGGAAAGATACGCTACAACAAATGTTGTATTTTTATTGATAATGATTTGTGAATTTGATTCAGTAAAACAAGTAACGGCTTTTTTGAAAATATTTCTCCTACCAAAATAGTTTTCTTCGTAACTGCTATTTCGGCCAAATTGTAGTATAGCAACAAAACATGACGAATATTCAAAATTTGACAATGACTGAATTGTTGGCTGATAAATGTCTTCAGTAAGTTATAAATATAAAGTGATGAAGGAAAGAAGGAATGTGATAATCCTGCTAAACATAATATCGATCAAATGATCGAATCGTGCTGACTTTGAAATATTTACATCTAATAAAAACATACGTTTTAGTTTTTTTTACAAAACAAAAACACCCTATAGGTCTAATTTAATCGGCCAACATCGATGTTCAAGATAAGCCCGTCAGATAAACATTTCATCATAATTAATCATTTTCACAAATATATTCATACTGTATTCCGACACTCCTAAGCGCAATATAAACATTTAAAGTATGTCATGTCCGGTACACGCAACAACACCCAAATGATTGACCAGATATGTATTGTTGTTGGTTCGAGAAATACTTGTTTTACATTGCAGGCGTACAAAGTATGATTCCAGCGTTTTACACAATGAACCTATTGTCGCAGTGTTTGCCAACCCAGCGCCGAGGACTCAAATGAGTCCGTAAAGAGCTTTAGTAAGTCCTCATACATATTGGCAACAGAATAACAATAATAATTATTATGACTTTACGCAATCGTTTAACAATTCGACTATACCGTTTTAGTTGCACAAACCACTTGTTACGTGATAATAATATACATTTTAGTGCTCTGCTTATCAGCTTATTTTTCACTTTTTTGGAAAATTGTGTCAGCAAAGCTGCAAATTTAAACGATGAATGGTGTTTTTGCAGTTGTTCTAATAAACAAATCTCGATAAAATTAACTTTTATTCAATTTTCGTGAGTCCGCCATGATTCATTTTGGCTTGGCAGTGGTCCGCGGCCAAAAATGGTGGGACTGGTTATAGTTTAGTTAGTTAGAGTGTTGTCCTATTCGGATTCGTATATTGTCTCAATTTCATACCCACACCCCATAAAGAGAATTTCTTACCAACACCACAAAATTTGACAATCCAACGAACAGATCAGCACATACAAGTGAGGCAACAAATCTGTATAAATTTGAGTGAAATTTCTTCCAATGTGCTGTAATCGCAACCAACAGTAATGTATTTTCAAGAATGATTCCAACAGTCATCACAGTCGTCAGAATTCGTGGCAAATACATATCATTGTGTTTGCATGACACATATCTTTGATAATAATCATCAGATATATTCTCCCCACCATTCGCCCACAAGACAGTAGTAGTATTCAATGTCATAATTATTTTGACATTGCCTAAATATTCTGTAATATGAAAGGTAATTTTTTTCTTATTCAATTTACTATAATTTGGGCATCACGGCGACGTCTCATCTTTTGATCAGAGTCATTCGTTATAAATATGCCATACATACGATTCAGTTTTCAAAAAATCTCGGTAATTGTTGACAAACCATTGTCATCTTGACTAGCATAGAGCTTATTTAGGCCCATAGGACTAAGTATAGGACTAAGACGATCGATCGGCATTGCATCAAGTATAATACGAAACACTCATTTCAAGTTTCGGTAGAGGGAACCCAATGAAATGATGAAGTATATTTTGAACTGTCGATATCATGCCAAACAGAAACAAAGCAACGAATTAAAACTAGAAAGCCTCACTATCCTGATTAAAAGTGGGAGTGTTCTGTCACCAGTAATTTAAACGTTTATATAAGAGGAATAACTGAAGAAAATCCAAAATGCACGAATAAAAAATTGATGATTCACACGACATCGTGGAGTGAGAAACGTTTTGTTGATTTCGACTAAGGGCCATGAACCGATAGCTTGAAGTGCGTCATTCACAATTGTAATTAACGTTTGCTTTCTTTTAGTACGTTTCCGAAGTGAAACTATCCGCCATAGTTAATTGTTGACTCCCATGACTTATATTTTGAATTGAAATATCAAAACTACAGATGCCCACAAGCAGATAATGAACACCCATAAGGCCATAACCTAGATTCCTGGAAGATGAAGACGGTAAAATTTCCCTATATACGTACAGCCAGTCCAATCTCGAACACACCAATATTATATGACCCGAACGTACTTGCATGTGTATCATTCGCATGTCGATCATGCATACCATTGGATGTACGAGTTGATACACCATTTTGAACTTGTAAATTTATAACCAAAATTGTAAGTAAGGATGAGCTCTCCTTATGAATCTGGCTAGAATTGAATTTGAAGTGAGAAACCCAGAATTTGGTTCGAAGCACGATTCTATATCATCCATATTGTGCATCATATCACTTTTACTACCAAAGATGGGTAATTTTATTAACTTCATTGGATTATTTTTGTTTGGGTCTACTTCCAGTTAGAGAATCTGAATACTATTTCACCGCCGTGACGATGTCTTCTGAAATACCAAAAGCGAAGAAATTATCCGTGTTTTAAATTGAAAGTTCGTAACAAACTTGTTTTGATGAAATTAATGCTACACTCTACACTTTGTATTTTGCAACAAAATGTGTTAAAGGTCTTGCAGAAATCATATCATGATGGCAAAAGTTTACCCGATGCACAACAACGCACGACAATACTTAATATAGAAATAATGTCCGCTAACAAATGGCATGCAGCATTCAAATATATAAATCGTATGTTTGATTGTAAATAAATTATTGTAGCTTTCGTGACCAAACGTGTGTCACGGAAGGAATGCATGTACAGTATAAGAATTAAAAGATAAAAATGTGCAATTGACGTTGCATAAATATTTAAATTAGGAGTAAATGGCCCATGAATTTTTCAAAGCAATATGCTCATATTTTGGTGTATTTCTAGTGCAGGACGGATATAGCGGTTGCATTTGATTGAAAATAATTGTACATAATGTTTGTATTTATTATTGAAAGTTAAATTATAAGGCCGAGCTGCATATCGTACCATCGACAACCAGTTGGACTCGTACCCATTTAAGCAAAATTCGACAAATTTTTCTTGAAACTATAAGTTATTGTTTGATTTTCATTTCGGCATAATTAACATTGCAAAGGCTGATTAACTTGATAATTATTGTCGGCATTTCAGCTTAAATATGTACGTGTCTTCCAATGTATGGTATTACGTTAAAAAATTTTTGCGACGGTATTAATTGTAAGTGATTGCGTGACTTGTCTGAGATTTCAAAAATCCTCGTCCCAGTTTTATTGATGCTATTTGATGAATTAACTATAAAATACAAGTCACTATGAAAATTATTTCAACAGTCGAATAATTAAACAACAATTATCATAAAAAATTAGATTTCATTTTGATATTAATTTTTGAGGGTTTGACCAGTGGTTAAATAAGTACAATATACGTCATGTGAAGATTATAATCAATTAGACGGTTACGTTTTATATACAGTACTTTTCAAATTTTGAGCCTATACCCTTAAAATTGGAAATTGTACATGCCAATGAATATATATTCGCAGTAAATTTGAGTCATGAAAAAGAATATAAACTTCTTAAGAGTCGTTATACGATGCATTTACCTCGTCGCTCGTTTCTCGTAAAATTTTGAATAAGCAAAACTCACATTAATGCATCTAGTTTACGTTTCCGTGTCAACTATTTGGGTCTTTGATAGGGACCTTCTCCCAAACCTAATGACATTTTTGTGAGGTTAGGCCCTTTGAACCCATATACTGGTTGTCATTTTGTATTTTTAATAAACTGCAATCATGATCCATTTTTCGACAGTCCATCTCAAAAATTATCACTCCCCACATACAACTTTGTTCTCTAGAGAAAAACTCGATTCAAAACTAAATTGCACTGCCCTCATAAAACTTTTTTCTATTAAATGTTGTACGGTACGTTTACAAAATCATCTCGCGATTTATATTTTTATTCAATATATGCAACCTAATTAACTGATTTATTGCAAAATTTGTCATCGGTAGATATTTACTTCCTCGCTGAGCTGAACGATGATTAACGTATATGCATGTATGGTGCAGGTGACAACATTACTAATTAAAAATAGGTTGATTATATACTACTGTGTTTCAATAACTATACACCTGACTTTCAAAATGTTACTGACTAGCCTTTGGTGCGAGACGACCGGTTGTAATGTACTACCGATAAACAAAATCCTCTCACATTTATCAAGATAACCACTTTTTATATACTTCGTATATCTTTATGTTTTCAAAAATAATTACAAGTTTCACGTTCATTTCGACGTAAATAGTCTCATTTAATTGCAAATTTTTAGTTAATTCTACTGTAGTTTTTTTGCGGAGTATTTTGAGACGACAACTGCTCGGCGTCTTGAGTTATTATCAAAGTTAAGATCTGTCGCATATTTCAACAAAAATGACGTTAAGTATACTTGTATGTTTTGAGTTGAAGAATTATACAAAATTCAGCGTTTCAATCTGGTCGTTTGGCAAGAAAGTTATTTGCAAACACGTTTGTTATATATCCGTGTACACAGAATAGGTACGAAATTCTGTGTTGCTTAATTAGTAAACATTGTCATGCTAAGAATTATAATAAAAATCGTGAATTGACGAAAAGTAACTGTTACTTAACTAATATGCTATAACTTGTTCTCGGATTCTGATTCATTTTTGAGGGAAGTTTTGATTCCACAGATGGTAATAGAAAAAAAATTTCCAAAAACGTTTATTATTGACCACGAAAACTGGTTTAAGCCGCTGGATGAGAACATATGACAAATAAAAATGACGAACGCACACTTTTTACGATGTCGAAATGCAGATGGTTATCACAAAAACAGGAAAGCTTGCTATTTTAAAACATTATATTACACAAAGATACTTGGGTTTATTCTATACAGTTGTCTATTGTGCAGCAGAATTATTTGGAACTTAACGATCCTTTGATTTGATTAAAATTACGTCATCGAGAAATGGATAATATGTACTTTCTCATCACAATTATAGCCTATCTATGAGTATTTTGATAAATATACTTATGCTACGGTCACAAAAACGTATTTAGTAGTGAAAGAAATCCACGCCCACAAGCGACTATGACGAAACAACTAAAAATACGTAATAAAGCACATTTAAGCATAAGACAAGTAACAAAAAATCGGTCAAGCATTCGAGATACATCCAAAAAAGATCTTTCTTTATCGCTTGACGAATAACTCAATTTTTTGGTCGTACAGTAAGTGTGTGTGTCATCGTTTATTTACTTTAGGGATAAAAAAAAATCTTTAACTGTGATATTTGCTGAATAATATTTTTGCAAGAAAAATATGATCCGGCTATCATTTTGCTACGCACATTTGTCATAAATTCTCGGAAGTGATAAAAGTTTGTATATACCAACTCTGAAATTATCAATATTATTAAATCAAACTAGCGTGACATCGAAGTAATATAATTAACAAGTTCATACAATATGCAAATACTTTATATAATTTGACAATTTTATAAATCAGTTTCACGATAAATCAGCATGAAAAATTACAATGCATCACATTTGGAAGAGATTTATTTATATAGAAAGTGAGCATCACGTCGATAATAGAGAAAAAGGGTTTCTGATGCCTCGTCCATGCATCTGGAATTATCACCTGACTAGAGCTCTTACTATATACTCCATACTGATAACTGCTCAGAAGGCTGTGTTCAGTCATAGGATTAAAACATTTTACCAGAATTTTTCTATCGAGAAACATAAAAAAAACTTCATCAACATGTGAGGTCACCAAAATAAAACGCTGCCACAATTTCAAAAGATTTTTTTTTGTATTCGCTACGGAACATATGAGTTCTCCTATAATAGCAAGCGACTGCACATCTAAGGTACGTATACGGTTTCGTAGTAATTTAAGATATTCAGTCAACTAATATTGTGCAATAAACTTTAAGACCATCTCTTATTTTATCGAGAGGGTAAAATTTAGAAACTGTAGGCCGTGACTTTTGCCTTAGGTGTGTGCATTTGGGATTATAGATGTGGTTCTAGAGACTGCGCGACTGAAGTCGACACTGAGTGAGCGGTTACCAACGTAACAGCATGCAGTTACTAATGTTCTTGCATGCAAATATGCTTCAGACATTTGTCTACAACATATAATAGTTTTGCTTTATTTTTGTGGTAAAAAGCCCATATATACCATAGAATCCGTTCTAGTAGAATCGCATGAAATTGCGAGTAAAATTGAGTGACATATTTTCTATTGTTCAGTACGAAATGCTATTTTGCGAATTTTTTTATTTTATTTCTCCTTCTAATAATAAAAAAAAAATTTCATTGCAATATTAA